AGACTCACAAATGGCTCTTAGAAGAGCAAAGCCACCGTCACAAGGAAGCAGTCTGGCAGTGTAGACGACAGAGGGCGCGCTCTCCCAGCTTTCAAGGTGGAAGTCACATCAGTTGTGGGCAGGTTGGAGAGCTCTCCTCTTGGTTTGTAGAGGAGAGCTTCCTTCCTGTGTCTTCTCTGTGTCTTAGTCTTTTCTTATAAGGACACCAATTAGTGCTGACTTTGGCAACACGTACACGAAAATCGCAGCAATACAGAAAAGATCAGCACGGCTCCTGCACAAGGATGACATACAAATCTGTGAAGCACTCCATTTTTTTTTTTTTTTAAAGATACCAGTTAGATTGGATTAGGGCCCCACCATCTCACCTAAATTTTACATTACCTTTTTAAAGACCTATTTCTAAATACACCCACATTCTGAGATCCTTCAGGTTAGAACTTCCACATATGTGTTTTGGAGGACAAAATTCCACTATTTGTGAGATATGGAACAGAGTGGAAGAGTGGGGGATCCTCTTCCCAGCTTCAGGTGAGCTAGTAGCTCTGGGGGCAGAAACCCCTGGGAGGTGCTTGGTGAGCAGCCAAAAGATGGAAACAATCTTGGAAACTCTTGACTTCTGGCCATGGCAGGAAATTATTCTTGCTTCCTGCTGTTAAGAGAGGATTCAGGGCTGGCGATATAGCTCAGTTGGTAAAGTGCTTTTCTTGCATGCACAAAACCCTGAGCTCAATCCCAGCACTGCGCCCCTGCCCCCCATAATAAAGAAGAAGAGAGGATTCAGGGCAGAGTTGGAGATGCCTCAGGGGTGACAACTTCTCAGCTGAAGAAGCAGTCTCCTGAGCTAGACCTCAGTGAGTTGGGCAGCCAAGAAAGCCTTATGGTGTCCACCTGCACTGAATATGCAGATGGCCAGGGTCATTAATTTCAGGGTCTGAACTGAGATCCATGGTCAGGCTAGAAATTTATCCATAAAAGGCATAGGGAGTTCAAGGACCAAATAAACAGAAATATTTCAGACTATGGAACTACTCCAGGTGCTATTAAGACACTAGAGATGGTAGGAACATAACTCAACATTGTAAAAGCTATATACGCTAAACCCAAGTCCAACATCATTCTAAATAGAGAAAAACTGAAAGCCTCTAAAAACTGGAATAAGACAGGGATGCCCCCTCTTTTACCACTCCTGTTCAACATGGTCCTGAAACTCCAGCCAGAGTAATTAGGCAAAAGAAAAAAATGGGATACAGATATGAAAAGAAGAGCTCAAACTATCCCTATTTGCTGATGACAAGACCACCCCAAAAAACTCCACCGGGAAACTTCTAGACCTAGTAAATGAATTTAGCAAACTAAAAGGATATGAAATTAACACCCATAAATCTGTTGCATTCCTATACACCAATGATGAATAGCTTAAAGAATCAGGAAACCTGGCCTATTCACAATAGCCTCAAAAAATGAAATATTTGGGAATCTAACAGAAGGGGTGAACACATTCACAATGAAAACAACAGACACTAAAGAAATTGAAAAAGACCTTAGAAGATGGAAAGATTGGGCTGGGGATGTGGTTCAAGCGGTAGCGCACTTGCCTGTCATGCGTGCGGCCCAGGTTCGATCCTCAGCACCACATACAAAGATGTTGTGTCCGCCGAGAACTAAAAAATAAATATTAAAAATTCTCTCTCTCTCCTTCTCTCTCTCTCTATCTCTCTCTCCTCTCTCTCTTTAAAAAAAAAGATGGAAAGATCTCCCATGTTCTTAGATAGTATGGCCATTTTAACAACATTAATTCTAACAAAAGTGCCATATAGATTTCATGCAATTTCTATTAAAATTCCCATGATGTTCTTCATAGAAATAGAAAAATCAGTCACAAAATTTATTTGGAAAAATAGAAAAGTGACACTGGAGGCATCACAACACCAGACCTTAAATTATAGTACAGAGCTATGTAATGAAAATGACATGATATTGGCACAAAAACAAACATGAAGTCGACTGGTACAGAATAGAAGACAGAGTCCTACCCACACAGATTCAGTTATCTCATACTAGACAAAGGTGCCATAAACATATATTGGAGAAAAGATTGGGAAAACTGGAAATCCATATGTAGTAGAGTGAAATTGAACTTCTAACTCTCACCCAGCACAAAACTCAAAGTGGATCAAAGACCTAGACATTTAGGCCAGAGACTCTGCACGTAGTAGAAGAAAATGCAGGTCCAAATCTTTATCCCGTTGGCTTGGGAACTGACTTCCTTAACGAGTCTCCTAAAGCAAAAGAAGTAAAATCAAGAATCAATCAATGGGATGCTACCAAACTAAGTCACTTCTTCCCAGCAAAGGAAACAAGAACATGAAGAGAGACCCTACAGAATGGGAGAAAATCTTTACCACTAGCACCTCAGATAGAGCATTAATGTCCAGGATATACAAAGAACTCAAGTTTTTTACCTTAACACCCAAAATCCCTCAAACAAAAAAAAAAAAATGAATAAATGGGCTAAGGAATTAAACAGAAATTTCACAGAAGAAGAAAAATGAATGGTCAAAAATATATAAAAATAGATTCAACTCTCTAGCAATTAGAGAAATACAAATCAAAACTACATTGATTCCACCTGACTACAGTTAGAATGGCAATTATAAAAAATAAATATAACAATAAATGTCGGTGAGGATGTGGGGTAAAGGTTCTTAATACATTGCTACCTGGGTGGGGAGAGCTAGTCCAGCTGGAGTGGTCATGCTGCCGTGGACATCCAGCAGGACCTCGGGCAGCAGCTGCACCACAAGGTCACTCACAATGAGTCCCCTAAGAGTGAGACTCAGAGATCACAAACAATTTGCACACAGAGGAAATTGGCCTGGGAGAACTCTTCAGAGCTGTGAGCAGTGCCCCTTCCCTGAGATGGTGGCTTGCTAAGGGAGAAGAGGAGTACTTCACCAGTGTGATCATTCAACTTTGTTAACCTGTTAGCTCTTTCAGACACCCATATCATGATTATGATTTCACAATATCATTTAAGGATAAATAAACAATATCATTTAAGGATAAAGTGAGAAAATAGGGAGTCAATAGTGTAATGAAAATAGTTACAGAACTATAAGTAAAGTAGGCGACAGGATTCAAGAAAGGATGAGGTGGCATCATCAAGAGGGCTTACAAAGTGAAGTAAGAGAAATGCAGGTCTGCAGACTTGCGGTGGGAACTTTGTGTCTGTATGAGCCTCGAAACTGAAATCTTGGCATTGCTAAGGGTCGCTGTGGGCCCTGAGGCCTACACTGAGTCACAGGACATAGGAACTCATCATGTCTCTGATTTGGGGTTCTATGGAGACGCAGGAGGAGCCACAGAGTAGAGGCTTGACCTGGTCCTCATGAGGGTATCTTATCTCATAATGGTATCTTCTTTTATACAGATTTTGGTTTCTGTATAAAAGAAGAGCCATCTTCTAAGTGGGATGTGTCACTGAGGTGAAACCACTGGACAACTAAGAGATTCTTGACAGATAATAGACACAGGAATGGATCCATTATGTGGCAGTGGAGGCCCTTGCAGGGTAGAGAGTATGGATTAGTGTGAGAGTGAGAATTGCCGGGCCCCTTTAAAATCTTGCTAAATGTCAGGATAAGGTTCTCATCATTCTTGATTCCTTAACTCACAATATTTTTCCATACTTGTCTTTACATAAAGTTTTCACTTTAAAACCAAGAGACAAATGAGCCTTTCACTTGTCTAAACAGGGGATGTGGACAACAGCATTCCATGGATGCTAGAAATTAGATGCACGTTATTAAAGACTCCATTGGGCACAGCATACCCTGCACAGAACAATCACAAAACAAGCAGAAAACAGCAACAGGCACATCCACACACCTGCAGCCGCTCCCACAAGGCTTACCATATGAGATTTCCTCCCAGGACCGGGATGCGGAGGCAGCATGTGTCAAGTGTGTGGGTGAGACACTGAACCTCAGTTTGAGGTCTAGGACTGCAAGACGTCACCTCCTTGCTGGCAGCGATTATCATGTCACCTGGGAGTGTGGTGACAGTGTCCTCGAGGGGATTGCAGAGGACACTGAGAATTTGGGATTGTGCAGAGCACTGACAGCTATTGGAAGTGCTTAGTATCCACTGGGAATAACAGAAACTGATGGGGAGAACTTGTATTTCAAGTAAACAATTTAAAAACCACAGGGGCATGTGAGAAGAGGACCCTGAAATCTAGACTAGATCAGGGTTTCCTGACTTAGTTGATGGGAAGCTTTCCCCCAAAGTGCCTGAGGAAATGGTAGTGGCGTCCACTGAGGCAGCTGCCTGGCAAGAGACAACCAATTCTTCTCAGTCTCAGTCACGACATCCCTTTGTACCTCTAGATCTACAACGAGATGCAACTCCCAGTCAGCCTTTGAAGGACAATGTGCCAGTGGAGAGTTGAACTGCACTGAAAAATGCTTTTCCTAATTTACCCAGAAATCCTGAAGACATGTATGGGAATGGATACTAAAGGTGGGATAGTGATGGGTAGAACATGAATCAGGCTGAAGTCATTGATCTTTTCCCACTAAGCAAAGATGAGAAATCATCATCTTTTGATTTCTGCCAACTTACCGTAGGCCACCTACACTCCATGTTTCTGCCAACTAACTAAATGAATTGTGAGGCTGGTTCTCACAATTCGTTTAGTTAGTTGGCAGGAACATGGAGTGTAGGTGGCCTACAGTAAGTAAGGTCTCCTTTGGGTGTACTGTGGAAAACAGGCTCCAATAGCTGTGGGAAACTTAAGAGTGGATTGACCATTTCAGATCTTCCTCTCACTCCTGGAGGTCAGAGAACCTTTCTCACCATGTTGGTGAGAAATAAACTTGTGAGAGGGAGTGGTAGCATCCTTGAAGAGCTTCGAGCTTGTCCTTGATAATTCAAAATGTGTAGCAGCAATGGCTGCCTCTGAACTGGGAAACCACATGCAATGTGGACCAATTAGATTTCATAATAAAGAACTTTTGTTTTTTGGAAAACCAAGTGAAATAAAGTGAATGGAAAGACAGACTGGGAGAAGACACAGGCTTATGTTTATAACAACACTTTTATCAAGACTATAGGAATAGCCGGGCACAGTGGCACGTGTCTGTAATCCCAGCAGCTTGGAAGGCTGAGGCAGGAAGATCACAAGTTCAAAGCCAGCTGCAGCAATTTAGGAAAGCCCCAAGCAACTCAGCAAGACCTGTCTCTAAAATATAAAAAGAGGCAGGGTCTGGGGTTGTGGCTCAGTGGTTAAGCATCCCTGGGTTGAATCCCCAGTAGTTTTTATACCCCAAAATTTGTATCTATGCCCTTCTGGTAATCCACACTATGTGGTGTCATAGATGTATGTACATGGTTAGGGACTCATCTCTTAAGTACAAGAGATTCCCACCAGTGGCAGCAGATGGAAAGCAATGAAGATGATTCTGAGACACCTGGATACCTAGATGAGCCACAAAGCCAACACCTTGACCCCAGGTCTGTTTTCCTTCAAGCCTTGCTTTTCTGCCTGTGCAGGAGTCAACTCAAAATCAGTCCAGCAGTGACTGCGGTCCATATAGGTCATATATCCTGATAAAAGACTGGCCACAGTAGAAGGAAAGGTCCAGAGAACCTAAGAATTCCTATGCATCCCCAAACAATGCCATGATAGAAACATGGACATGTTTGGATGACCCACGGTGAGACATGTTCTTTGTACTTGCTGTGATCTTCTCCAACCCCTACTTATTGCACTACATCTCTGGACCAATTATTCTTACCTGGCTCATCCAGCCAATAACACCTACCTGATTCTGCCCTTCAGGGGACACAGCTACACTGAAAGAGTATTAGAAAATATGGAGCATCACTAAGAACAAAGGAACAATCCAGAAGTATCACAGCACTGGAGTCTGTCATAAATGCTTCTTCTTAGTAAGACTGTTAGACCTACAAACACATTTGACACCCAAACCATATAACTAGGACCACACAGCTCTGCCGTGTTTTCTAGAAGGCCCTGGGAAGCAATGACAATGAAGACTACTTCTACAAACATACTGTGCCCTTGGAGCACGGAAAGCTGGGGCCCACAGACTGTTCACCATTCATGGCAAAAGGACACAATTCAGTTCCAGACCCACACCACACAATACGCACAACCTCCCAGATTAAAGATGGCTTAGGTAATAACAATAGGGTGTTTATCAGTGCATATATCAGCACTTGGTGATACAAGCCACTTCCCTCTTGGGTGATGTGGAACAGGAAAAATTCCACAATGGCAACCACACAGAAAAAATAATATGCATACAAAAGGTAAACCTCTGCAGACCACCAGAACCCAGACTGCTCTGCAGGGTCTTCTCTATGCCATGAACAGTTCAGCAGGATAGAAGAGGACCCTGTCAGGCTCACATTCACCAAGGCTCCCTTCAGGGTATGGTGAGCACACACAGGTCTGTATACGCCCCCAGCCCCCACAAGTGCATCAGAGTGACTGATGGGGCACTAGGATATGCCACAATGCAGTGTCTGCTTCAGTACTAGGTGGGTTACAAAGTGCAAGTTAGGTCACGAAGCTTCCCAAGCACTTGGGTCCTGTAGCGAATCTTCCAATTGTTGATCTTCAGAGGCATGAGGTTCAACTTTTGTGTGGCAGATCAGATGAAAGGTCTGTTCCATGAAAGGCTAGGGCCTTCCTCTTGCATGAATGTTTTGGTGCCTGACAAGGGAATATCTCTTGTTGAAGGCTTTCCCACATTCACTGCACTCATAGGGTTTTTCTCCTGTGTGGATCCTCTGGTGCTCGATGAGTTTGTTTTTGTAAAGGAAGGACTTCCCACAAGCAGTACAGATGAAAGGCCTCTCTCCGCTGTGCGCTTTCTGATGCTGAATGAGGCTGGTGCGATGTCGAAAGCATTTCCCACATTCACTGCACTCACATGGCTTTTCTCCAGTGTGGGTCCTCTGGTGCTCAAAAAGTCTTTTTTTGTGGCTGAAGCCTCTCCCACACTCACTGCAGCTGTATGTTTGTTCTCTGGTGTGAATTCTCTGGTGCTGAAGAAGTTTATCCTCAATGTAGAAGCCTTTCCCACATTCTCTGCATTGGTAAGGTTTTTCTCTAGTGTGGATTCTATGATGCTTTAGAAGAGTTTGTTTACAGATGAAGGCTTTCCCACACTCATTGCACTCATAAGCCCGTTCTCCTGTGTGAATTCTCTGATGCCGAATGTAGTCAGAAGACCGAATAAAGGACTTCCCACATTTAATGCACACATAAGGCTTTTCTCCAGTGTGGACTCTCTGATGCTCAAGAAGTCTTTTCTTGTGGATAAAGGCCTTTCCACATTCATTGCATTCATAGGGCCTTTCTCCAGTGTGGATTCTCTGATGATCAAGAAGTGACTGTTTGTAGATGAAGGATTTCCCACATTCACTACATGCATAAGCCCTTTCTCCACTATGAATTCTCTGATGTCGAATGTGGTCAGAAGACTGAATGAAAGATTTCCCACACTCAGTGCACACATAAGGTCTTTTTCCAGCATGGATTCTCTGCTGGTGCCCAACAAATGTTTGTTTGTGACGGAATGATTTTCCACATGTGTTGCACACATAAGGCTTTTCTCCATTATGGGTTCTCTGATGCTCAACAAGAGAGTATTTGGAGCTCAGGGATTTCCCACATTCAACACACACATAAGACCTTTCTCCAGTGTGGATTCTCTGCTGATGCCCAATGAGGGTTTGTTTGTGGCGAAATGATTTCCCACATGTGTTGCACACATAAGGCTTTTCTCCATTATGTGTTCTCTGTTGCTCTACAAGTAAGTATTTGGAGCGCAGAGATTTTCCACATTCACTATGTTCATTATCTTTTTCTCCAGTGTGAACTCTGTGATGTTCAATGGTGTGAACCCTCTCATTGAAAATTTGCTTGAATCTGCTATGTTTGTACTGTCTTGGCTGAACATGAAAGGTCTCTCGGCTTCTCAGTGAACATTCTCTGCCAAGGGCAGTCTGATGCTGCAGAAGGTCTAGACTGCCTGGGAAGTCCTTCTCTACATCTTTGCATATAAAAAAGCTGTCTGACACAGGGACTCTGCAGCTGAGCAAGGCTCCGTTCTCTCCCCTTATGATGTGTTTCTCTCCACTGTGTTGCTTCTGGTTCTCTTTTAGTTTCAAACTTAATGAGAAGTGTTTTCCACATGTCACACATATGTATGGTTTCTGGCCCAGAAGTATCTCCTGGTGTCCAGTCAGGTGCAAAGAGTCTTTTGTGAACTGGATACACATCTGACAGGGATGAGCATTGGAAATAGAAGGACTTGGTGCTGGAGTCCTGGCCTGTGACATTCCTATGGAAAGAATCTGCTCAGAATGGGCCGTTTTCTCTACTCTGTGCCAACAACCTGAAAGCACAAGAATGACGGGTGACTCTGGTGGGAGGAGACGGCCCAGCAGGAGAATCCCTAGGTTTGTTTCTAGGACAAAAGAGCTAGGGTAGTTAAAAAAAGATCAGGTTGTTTGGTAGTGAGCCTCCAGGGTTCAGAATGTAGGAGAGGCCCTACAACCATCAAGAAAACCTGGAACGGGTGTCGTTGTGGGAAGATGGACAGGGTCTACACCTCCTTCCCGTGTCAGTGGTTCTCGGTGTGACCTGTCATCTGGAGACAGGCGTGTCCTACCCCAAGAAAGCACAGCTGCAACAAGGCAGCTGGTGCTTTCAAGGCTACTTAAATACTCAAGCATGTCTCACAGCTCATGAAGTGTGGGCTAATGTTGGAACATCTACAGAAGCAGAGGAACCGGAGAGATGAGTGGATGTAGAGGTAGGGAACAGCCAGGGACCAGAAGTCACAGCTGAAGTGACAAGTAGGCAAAATGACAAGTAGGTGGAAGAAATATAGGAATAAGGTATGGCCATGAGCCTTGGCATCAAAACAGTGGTAAGCACAAAACATCTGCCTGATATGATTTGAGCTCAGCCCTGAATGTGTACCCTCCCACTGTTTCAGCTCACAATTCCAGAACCCATTTACCGTTCTTGTTAAAACTGGAAACTTGGGTTGATGAAAAGTGTTGGGAAACCATGTAGTTCAGCACGTACTCCCCTCGTGGCCTAAACCAATCATTTCAAACGAATCCTCCTCTTGTAGTAACCAATCACCCGCCAGTGAATGTGCTAATCATGTTTTAGAGTTGTTTTATGATTTTCCCACGGTGTGTGATGATTTGCTAAGAGATGCTATGATGTATGTGAAGTCCCTGTCTTCCCCAGAGAGTGTATAAAACTGCTGCAAACCCTGGGCTCAGGGCCTCTCAGCGTCACCAGTTGCTGTGTGCGCGGAGGTCCGAGTTAGCTTGCAATAAACGCCTCTTTGCTGTTAAAAAAAAAAAAAAGACTGGAAACTTCTGCACCCTGCCAGGGAACACTGTTCTCCCCTACCTCCAGCTCAAGTTGGGAGAACATTTGGGACCTGAAGGTAAAGTCCTAAGGGAAAACAGGTAACTGAGTGACTAACGCTCGCTTAGATCATCCTAATAAAAGATCACAGAAGAGAAATTTACTACAGAAAAATCTTGAAGGGGGTGGGGGGCAGGTCCTACTGTCACACCCTAGTGTTCCCAACATATAGTAGCATGTAAATACCTGTGATTCCTAGGTAGGCAGGTGCCAAGAAAAGCCCACTACAGTCCAGGGAAGCCTCAGCAGTCACTCACTTTAGCAGAGTGGCAAAACCAAGAGGCATTGGTTGGACAGACTGCAAGATTCTGAACTCAAACACTAACTACAAGGCTTCAGAACAGCAGAGGCTAGAGCTGCTAGGGCTAGGGCTAGCCCAGGCCTGACAATCAGCAGTGTCAGGAGGCCAGGGAGTGGGCAGAGGTCATGGTCCTGCTCTGGGAAGGACAGGGGAACGAAAGGAAAGCACAGAGCCCAGCAGTGTGGTTGTGAGGGACCTTACCCACTGAGGCCACGAGTGTACAGTTCTCCAGCATCACATCATGATACAGATGTTTCTGAGCGTCATCAAGGAGCCCCCACTCCTCCTGGGAGAAGTACACAGCGATATCCTCAAAGGTCACATGGCCCTGTCACAATGGGGACAGATGAGTTCATGAGCAGCCTCGTTACCCAGGTCCCTGGTACCTCACCCTCCACCGTAGCTCCCCACGCAGAGGAGACACAGACCCTGATGCTCCTGTTCCCTCCACCTCTCACACCCAGTGATCACCATCTCCAGCTCTCATGACCACAAGGTGAAATGGAGCATCATCTGAGCTCTGGGCCTGGTATGCAGAATCTCAGCCATGTTCCTGCCCAATTCCCTGGGGCCCCAGATCATGCCACATATACCCACCTGTGCTCAACTCCTGGGTTTAAGCCCTGCACACATCCATTAACACTCCCTCTCCACCTGCTTATTGCTCTGGAGACTGAAGTTCCCTCGTATCTCCAGACCATGATGGCTATATCCCTAACAACACTACTACCCTGGTCCATCTCACATCCTGCTCTGCTTCCCCATGTCTTGTTGTTCATGTGCTTGTCAAACAACCAGGGCACAGTACCCTCCAGTCTTCTATACAGACAAGCCAGAGGCAGTTCCGGCATTTCCAAGACCATTCCAGTGGCCTGGCTCCTCATTCTAGCACTGGAGTCCTGGGCTGAACTCAAGTGGCCAGGGTCTCTTCTTCCTCATTACTAACCTTGCTGCCCTACTCTGACAATGGCTTTCAAACTCAGTCCCCAATTATCTCACTCCAAGCCAAAGGATTCTCCCAGGGATTTCATCTGCTTCTAGCCTGAGCTGCCATCCTGTCAGAACACCTCAGGCTCCAGAAAGAGTCATTAAAAAGACAGTCAACAGAGGGCAGAACCACTAGCCCTGACCTCAGTGTCATCTGACCTCCACTGCTGCTTCGCCCTGAATGAATCTCTTATCCATCCCCCAGTTACAGCCCCTTCTGCCAGTCAGATCCATTCCCCATCGTATCCTTACACACCCTCATCGTCTCCATGATGATCACTACTTTGACCCAGCGACCACACAGTAACCCAGCAACGAGACAATATCTTGCCACCCTTCCCCACCAGCAGCACTGCCACTATGGCCTGAAGGGCCACATCTTTGATCTGCCCCAGTCCACATGCCAACCACCAGCCAGTGAAAGCCTCCACTAGAATGCCTTCTCTCAGCTCTGCCAGCTGCTGCTCACCTGACACTTGCACTCCCCTGCCCCAAAATGGGACTCCACATGGTGAAAACCGACCACCACTATCTCACAACTCAAACACACAGTTGAACAGGCTGGAAAATGAACACTCTAACACTTGTAAGACACAGGACAAACTGCTGTCCCCGTGACCAGAAAAACAGACAAATACAAGGAGTAGAGGCTTCCAGAGTTGACCCATGAGAAGAAACCACCACAGAAGCTGGGTTAGGAAAGCTGGACTACAAACCACCATCTTCTGGAGGTTCAGTGGGAACAACTCTGAAAGCTAAAAACCCCAGGAGGACTCAGTGATAGGAGTCCATAGCACTCATTCTTCTAAACAAAGCACTCCCTCGGATATATGAGTTGACCTGAGCCTAATCTGCAAGGTTAACAGACTGAGGGGGAGGGAAATACCCACTACAACTCACTCTGGTAGTCGTCTTGAACTGCCAACTTACAAACTTGAGAAAGGCTTGTGAATTTTAGTTCAGAAGCATAGGCTCACTAAGAACTGAAACCTCATGGCAGTAATTAGAATGCTTCCTCTCCCCCAAACACCTTACTGCTTTACTAAATGCTTCCTCTCCCCCTTCCTTCCTCTCTCACTACATTACTATTTACAACAGCTTCTTTTACCAGATATCTGCATCCGGCTAACAAGAAAAAAATTATAAAGCATACCAAAAAGCCAAAAATAAATAAATAAATAACCACAATCTGAAGAAAAAAAGCAAATATGAAAACCAGACCTTGATGTTAGAATTATGAACCCTGTAATTAAGATGCTGAGTGCTCTAATGGATAAAGGAAAGAGAATACACAAGAATGGACAGAAATCTTAAGAAAGAATCAGAAATACAGATTAAAAAATACCAAGATGAAGACTGCCTCTGATGGGCTAAGCAGATTAGACAAGGCTGAGATGAGAACCCACAAGTTTGAGGATAAATAGAAACTTCAAAAATAGAAAAGTAAAGTGCACAAACACAAAATCCCCAATAAATAAAACAGAATAAAAATAAAACCAGGATATCCAATGATTATGAGAAAATTACAAAACATGTAACATACTAGGATACAAGGAGAAAAAGGAACAGAAGAAATATGTGAAACCATAATAACTGCAATTTCTCCAAATTCATGCCAGACACCAAACCCCAGATTCAGAAAGTTCAGTGATCACTAAGTAGGATAAATACCCCCAAAAAACTACAACTAAACATTATTATGCTTCATTTGTACATTATCAAAGATAAAGAATCCTGAAAAAAAGGCCGAAAGAATAAATACTTTATGTAAGAGCAAAGATAAGAATCATGTCTGACTTCTCTTTAGAAATCATGCAAACGTGAAGAAAGTAAAAAAGTGTCATGAGAAAAAAATGCACCAACCTAAAGTTGTGTACCCTGTGAAAGTATTATTCAGAAGGGGGAAAAAAAACTACAGAGACTTTCTTGAACAAACTGAAATCAAAGGTTGTTGTAGCTAACAAAAATGACTTCAAAAAATATTAAAAGGAGACAGCCATCATTATACAAAATACATGTATGAAGATGTGAATTTGGTGTCAACATATATATAATCAGAGATATGATAGATTATGATTCTTAAAGGTGTATTAAGAATCGTAATGCAAAAATAAATAAATAAATAAATAAATATAAATTTTTTAAAATACTAAAATAAATTGTGTTGCGGGGCGCGGGCAGTACTGGGGATTAAACCCAAATTGAGCTCTACTGCTGAGCTACATTCCCAGCCCTTTTTAAAAAAAGAAAAAGAAATTTTTTTTGAGACAAGTCCACTAAATTCTCCAAGCTAGCTTCAAACTTTGAATCATCCTGCCTCAGCCTCACTAGCAGCTGGGATTATAGGTATGCACCATCACATCTAGGTTAGAACTCTTCAGAGAGCAGAAAAAATGATACAGACCAGAAACAAATCTACATAAAGGAAGAGCATTAAAGAAGAAATAGGTAAAAGTAAAATGAAAAACTGCATTTTTGTTATTCATAAACTGACGTCATAGTTCATTCATAATTATGATCAACAAATTTGATTATGTTTGTGTGTATTTTATAAATAAACCAATTTTATAAATAAAGTGAATTACAGAATGATACGAGAAAGCAAGGGCAAATGACAGGAATTATAAGGGGGCAGGAAGGCAGAATTATTAATTTAAGGACTATTTTAAGTGCCCACAAAAACAGGACAGTGCTATTGGACGTGGACTTGGATGAGTTGCAAAGGTGCACTGAAAACCACAGGGTTTAGTAACTGCAGAGCACCGACTCCCACAGCCAGAAACCATACAAAGTCCACTATCAAGTCACAATGGAATTAACCTAGAAAGCAATAACAGAAAGAGATGGAAAACTACACAAAGATGGAGATCAACAACACTTCTGAATGACTCATGGATCAAAATCGAAACATTCGAGAGACATTTAAATGAAAGGAAAACAGAACTTACCAAACCTGCGTGTTACATTGAAAGCAGTGCTTGGAGGAACGGTTATGGGGCTAAACCAAATATCAGAAAGAAGAAACCTTGCATTGATCATCTGAATCTGAAAAAAAAATACTACAAAAAAAAATAAGAGCTATTTAAATCTGAAGTAATTAGAAGGAAAGAAATAACTTGAACACAAGTCGATGAGAATGAAAACAGGAAATCGATGGAACTAGTAAGTGGTGGGGGGGGTCAATAAAAATTGATAAGCCCCTCTTTAGCCAGACTAAGAATGTAAGAGGGAGAACACAAATTACTAACATCAGATATGAAAGAGGAGACACCATAAAGATCCCAGGCAAACTACAAGGATGGTAATAGAAATGCTACCAATGACTCTAGGCCCACAACTTCATAAGCTGATGAAATGGATCGATTTCTTGAAAGACATGATCTGACAAAATTTACACAAAACCAAAATTATACCAACTCTCTACAATCTCTTTCAGAGGATAAAATTAGAAGAAATACCTACCAGTTATTTTTTTCTAGCCAGAATTATCCTATTATCAAAATAAAAAAGAGTATAAGAAAACTACAGACTAATACCCCTCATTACCACAGATGCAAAAATACTCAAGAAAATATTAGCAAATGAAATTCAACAATATATAAAAAGAATTATACACTACAATCAAGTAGGATTTAGGTGTAAGGCTGACTGAATTTTCAAAAGTCAATTAATGTAACCCATGACATCAATAGATTAAATAAGAAAAAAATATGACTATATCAATTGATAGAGAAAAAGCATTTGACAAAGTCTGACACTCATTCATTATAAAAATGAAATAAACCAGGAAGAGAAGGGTACTTCCTCAACTTGATAAAAGCTATCTTTAAAAAACCTGCAGAAGATATATTTAATGATGAGAAATTCAAAGCTGTCCCACCAAAATCAGGAACAAGGCAAGAATGTCCCCTCCCACCACTGTTTTTCAATATCACACTGAAATTCCTCACACAATAAGAAAATGAAATAAAAGGTATCTGGAGTGAAAGAAAGAAAACTATTTTTTTTTTATGAATGACATGACTGTCTGCATAGAAAGCCTGCAAGAAATGACCAAAAAACTCCTAAAACTAAAAAAATATAGAGAAAGGTTACAGGATAAAAGGTTACTATATAAGTCAGTTTATTTCCTATGTATCAACAATAATTTGAAATACAACATGATGCCACTTACATTGGCACCAAACAATGAAATATTTAGGATAAATCTAAATGATATATAAGATCTATATGAGGATGAGTACAGAACTCTGACAAAAGAAATTTAAAAAGAACTTAAAAACAGATATTCTATGTTCCTCAGTAGGAAGAGTCAGTGTTGTTCCATGTCAGTTCCTCACCATTTGGCCTACAAATTCAATGCAATCTCAGTCAAAACCCCAGCCAGGTGTTTTGCAGATATAGATCGACTGATTTTAAAACTTACATGGAAAGTACAGTACTGAAGCATAACAAAGAGCTGGAGACCTGACCCTGTCCAACTTGAAGACTGACTAATGAGGTATCTTAATAAGACAGTGAGGAATTGGTGAAAGGATGAATAAACAGACCAAGGGAATAGAAGACAAGTACATAGAAAGACTCACATAAAAGTCAGCTGTTCTGCTAGATGTGTTCCCAGCAACCAGAAGGCTGAGGTAAGAGGATCAGAAATTTGAGGCCAGTCTCAGCTTAGCAAGGCCCTAAGCAACTTAGAGAGATCTCATCTCAAAATGAAAATTTTTAAAAAGGGGGCTGGGGATGCGACTCAGTAGTTAAGCACCTCTGGGCCCAATCCCCAGTACCAGAAAAAAAAAAGTCAAACTATCTTTGAAAAAGCAGTAAAGACAATGGAGCTACAAGAATTTTTTCAACAGAACTGAACATCTGGATATCTGCACACCAAACAAAGAAAGAGAAACCTCACAGCCTTCAGGTAAATTAACTGAACATGTATCACAGACTAAATGCCAAATGTAAATGATAGAATTCTTAGAAGATAACAGAGGAGAAATATGGATGACTTTGGGGTTGTTTACTTTTTTAGAGAGCATCAAAAATGAAATCCATGATAACTAGCTAAATTTACTTAAAATGCAAAATTTCTGCTCTGTAGCAGAGGACTCTCTGCTGGTAGGAATAAACAGTGAAATAGCACCATGGAAGGCAGTCTGGCCGTTTTTTTACAAAGCCAAACACCCTTGTCATATGACCCAATAATACAGATCTTTAGTACTTACCCAAAGACATCAAAAACCTGTCCACACAAAGCCCTGGACATGGACATTTGCAGCAGCTACAGTCAAAACTGCAAAAACTTGGAAGCCACCAAGAGATCCTTAAGGAGATGAATATATAAATAAAATATTGCTGCACATTGAATGATTCCTATTATATGGTATTTTGAAAAAACAAAATTATGGAAATGGTAAAAAGATCAGTGATCTTTAGGGGCCAGAAACGGAAAGGATGAATAGAGGACTTTAACAGCAAAGGAAATACTTTGCATGATGCCCTCATGGAGAATACATGTTACTCTGCATCTGTCCAGCCTGTTATGTGTAATACCAAGAGTAAACACAAGATAAACTTAGTGACTATGGACGATTATGATGTGCAGGCATAAATTTAATGGCAATAATCGTACCACTCTGGTGAGAAATACTGATAGTAAGGGAGAGCGCTCTATGCATTATGATTTAGCTGTTAGGTGTCCGCCAAAAGTTCATGTGTGAGACAATGCAAAAAAATTCAGACATGAAGTGATTGGGTCGTAAGTTTTAACCAAATCATAATCCCCTGACAGGGATTCACTGGGTGATAACTGTAGGCAGGTAGGGTAAGGCCGGAGGTAGTTCACTGGGGCATGCCTTTGAGGTTTGTATTTTGACTCGGGTGAGTGAGCACTCTGTCTGCTTCCTGGTATGTCCTGAGCCACTTTCCTCCTCCACTCCTCTGCCACAGTGTTCTGCCTCACCCTGGGCCCAACGCAATGGAGCCGGCTATCTACGGACTGAGACCTTTGAAACTGTGATGCTTAAATAAACTCCTCCTCTAAAACTGTTACTGTCAGCAATGAAAAGCTGACAAAAACAGTATTTGTGTGCAACAACAGGAGTATTTGGGAAATCTCTGTACTTTGCTGTCAATTTTACTATGAGCTTAAAAGTGCTCTAAAAACAAAAATCGACTTTAATAAAAATATTTAAGTAAAAAGATAAATCTCCTCATGATAGTATTTCTTTTACATAATCCTACCATTTATGTTCCACCTCAGCAACTGGCACTTCCACACTTTCATTTATTAATGCCAAAAATATTGAGGTCATTCCTGATTGCTCTCTTACCATATCCAGCAGAAAATCATCCCTGCTGACAAGAGACTGAGAAACTCAACTCTGCCCCCAACTTCAGATTCACAGGTATTAGGCTCCTATTGGCACTCACCTGCAGTGTTAAAAAAGCCTTAAATCTGAGTTATAAAATTCCCTCCTTTGCTTCAAACCCTCCATGTTTCCTGCCACTCCAGGATAACTCCTATCCCTCGTTCTCGGTTCCCAGAAGGCACGACAGAGACTTGCAACTTCTTCAACCCGCCAAGCCATTCTCATCTCCTAGCACTTGGACATGCAATTTGTTCCTTTGCCCAGGAAACCTTCCAGCACCTCATCCTATTAGCTGACTTAGAAATATAATTTCTGACCATAATTAAGGATCCTGGGACTCAGGTGACCCCCAGGTTCCAAGGATTGAGAGGACACATCAAGTCCCAGGGCACCACTTATCACCTGAATTTGTGGACCAGGATCATGGGTGTGAGGAGCAAGGTCAGTGAGGGTCTGGGACTTCTTTACCTACCTGTGATGGTTCCTCAAACCCTTCTGCTGCCATGGAACTCTGTGGAAAGAGGGTGTCTATGAGATAAGGGTTAGAGTGGAACCTGTGGAGGCTTAGTTATTCCCTCCTGCCTTGCTCTGAGCTTTCTCAGGCTGGCATTTAACCTCAGATCCTCAGCCCACTGAATAAAGACCTAACCTCTCTGAGGCTGTCTTCACTCATAAAATGGAAACAATCATGGTGGCTACCTCCTAGTAGTGTTAGGCATGTCCAGTGCTAAGTTTAGCTGTTAGTGACCACAGATCAACATTTCTATAAATGTTTTTGAAAATTTGGGTGTTTTTAATCTGCCATTTAAGATTTCATACAAATAATATTGTATCAAATAATTAAGAGTTTTTGTGCTTTTCCTTATGGCACCAAATATATGGTTATTTTCTAACTGGTACCAATTGGGCACTCTACTCTTCAATTTTATTCTGCAACTACCTACCTGTAGTCAGCATCTGCACCCATATGTTTAAGGACTCAGGCATACAAAACTACCCTTACTTCAGATGCCAGTAACTTTAATGCTCAGGCCACCCATAATGCTATCCAATTTGGATACAAATCTGGGCGTTACATTACCCCTTCTTTAGGTTTCACAATTAGCTAGATTCACTCAGAGAACTCAGAAAAACTCGACTTACATTTACTGGTTTATTATTAAGAGTGTAACACAGAAACAACAAAATGTATAGGTCTGATATGTCAAGATATTGGGGGAAGAGAAGATGTGCATCCAGGCCCCTTCCGCATGTGTGACACTCCCAACACTTCCAAGTGTTCCCAGCTTGAAAGCTTTCTAAATCTCTGTGTTCAAGATTTTATATGACCTAATTCCCAGCTCACCTTTTCTCCTGGAGAGCCTAAGGAGGGACTGAAAGTTCAAATCCTGTGATCACTAGGTCTATCTGGGTGATCAGCCCTACTTTGAGGCTCTTTAGGGACCTCACTGTAAGTATTGTCACCCTCAGTCATTTAATAAAACTCAGGTATTTTGAGAAGGGGCTTGTAACGAAAACCAGACACTTCACCGAGGAAATTACAAGGGTCTTAGTTCTTTTTTACCAATGCCTGGCAAAGACCAAATGTTTGTATGAGAGCACAGAGACATGTTGTCATTTCAATTTCAAGTTGAAAGAATTTGTTAAGTCTGGAGCTAAAGTTTGCATTGCCAAGGAGAAGCAGAGGCACCTGTGCACTTGCTGGGCCTGGCCTGCTTGGCTAGCCAGGCTTTTCTCAGGCTCCATAAGAATGAGCTGTCTGCTGTGTCTTCAGAACGGTAAACTAGACAGATTTCTTAAGTCCATTGTCCTAGCCGGGCTCCTTGGTCCTCTGACACAACCCTGGAACCAGGGGCCCTCCCATGTAGAGGCAGCCAGCCAAGGCCCACCCACTCTTCCCCACCCTCCAGC